TATATATATATATAACAAAAACTACTAAAAACGACAAAAACACAGGACAAAACAGTAAAAAATTAAATTAAACTGAAAACGGAAAATATTGCGGAAAACTGCAATATTAATAAAAATATAGTATCTCAAGCATACTAAAATGATACAGCAACCAACTGAAATCAGTTGAAATTAAAGCTCTAAAATAGCATACTAGTTGGAAATAAATGAAGTAAACTAAAACCAAAACTGAAAAAAATGAACTATAATTAAAATAAAAACTGAAAATATAAAAATAAACGCTAATTAAAAATATTAATAAAAGCTGCATTAAAATAACACTAAATAAATTAACAATACTAAATTATCACTGGCTAGATAGCAGTAGTTATACAATTAGTTTCTTTATCCAACAGCGCCATCATACTGTGAAAAGGAGGCAGTACATTTCTGAACATAAAAGTGAAATCAAAACACTAAACACTTTAAAACATTTTGCAATATAAGAATAAATAGAATAAAATGCTTACGTAAAGTGAATGAAAAGCATCAGAACGGTTGCGCACATCTGTGTAATAAATATATATCTTTATTTGCACTTCATTAGTTTAAGAATGCCACAAGTTATACCACAAAATTGCTTAAACATGCCAAACTGTTTCAAATAACTAATATCAACGTATTATTCATACTCTTCTGTTTTGCAGTGTAATGAGGATCGGTTTCATTTTTTTGTTTTTGTAATGGAGTACTGTGATTGGCCGAGAGACTAAACCAAGACCAAGGCTATTCTGTACAAAATTAAGGTTTATAAAGGCAACATGTATTGCTACTAGAATTAAGAAACTCTACTGAGTTCAAAGAGCATGCTGGGTTTAACTTTTTCAAGAAAACTGATGTCATTGACAGTCTTTCTGAAGAGCATGAAGTCAGACTTACTAAGCTTCAAACGAAGCAAAATAAAATATGAATAAAAACAAGAAAAACTAAAAAGGCCAAAGGTTTGAGAGTGCTCCTTCAGACACACAACAAATGTAAAAATTACCAGGGGGTTTGATGGAAATAATAATAATAACAATAAAAAGAAAAACAAAAACAAAAAAATGGTTATAGCTTAGTAAAATCTGACTCCAGGTTCAGAAGAAATTCAACTACCATCCAAAATAAATTAAACATCTGCCAATCCCGCAGAGAAAGAAAGTAAAAAGCACTTGGTGAAAGGGATCGGATGATCATTAGAATATCTCATAAGGTTACAATATGGCACAAGCCTGCAAACATCAACTTTTTGAGGTTAGTACACTTTCCCTAACACTGTTAACACATAAGGTTTAGGTTGGTTATCTACTTTCAAAAGACACACAGTTCAAAGAAGTTAAATCTGAAAAATAAAGAGTTCAATGGAGTTAGAATAATACAGAACCAAAAAAAGCTGTTTTTCACCTCAGCAACAGTCAAACATTAGTCCCTCAGAAACAGACACAAGTTTGGTTATTTAATACTATACTGGTTTCTGACGAGAATATTAATGCATTACATACAACATAAACACACTGCCACTACACACATAATTCATCTTTCTATTATTTGAAATATGGTGAATCTCATTAAACCTGTCCAAAACATTTATATGTCATATTTAACCCCCCATTTTGTTTTGTTTTTTAATTTCGGGGGTCAAATATGACCTTGACATGTTTTCATTAAATTCACCCAAAAAAATATTTTTTTGTAGATGACGTTCCAGACGCACAGTAACACTGTCAGTCCTCTATATTCATGGACAGTTTCTACGAAAAAAGCATCATATTTCCATAAACTCACACAAAAACCTGTTGCTTCTGCATATCTGGTTCAGCTGAAATAGCCGTTCCCGTGTTATATTTTGTTATATAACACAGCTATATCATTACTACAGTCCTTGATCTAACGCAGGCAAATGATTCAATTCAACTGAAATCCAGTGGAGTCAGTGGTTTGTCCAGGAACGCAGAAGCATAGTGATGTTAACTGAAGAGTGTTGTTAGGAACAAGTGCACTGTTAGAAACCGTTCGAGTATCAAAACCAATGTCCCGTTTTACTCCTAATCTGCTCTCCACGGAAAAATAGCCCTTTCGGTGAGAGCTTTTCAGTTCTGCAATCCAGATCTAGAGAATAAAACAATGAACTCAATTATTGACCTTCCTTTATTCTACTCAAGTTAAGTGACACCGAAAGAGGACTAGGAAGCAACAAAACTCAAATCGCTGCTAAATGATAAGGTTAATCTTCTGTACACAGGTCTTTCACTAACGTTCAGCATTTCAGCTGTTCGTAAACTAGCTACGAATGGATTGTAGTGCAAAACACAACGGATAACACAAAATCCACCTCAAAAACAGTAACACTGATAGAACGTAAGGCATAAGGACAACCCAACCATGCCACCTCGTAAACACACAGCCGACAGAAATGAATTACGCTTGGCACGAAATGTACATCCACTTCGCTTTTAATGCCAAACCAATTTGGAAAAAAGCTTCCTAAATTGAGACCGGGAACGTTTTCCATAAGAAATGCGTGTTTGAGACGTGATGTGAAAGACAAGGGTAGAGTATCCGTCGTCCAATAGAAATAGTAGTTTCTTGTTTCTACTGAGAATATATGATGATGTATACTACATATAAATAGAAGTTGATGGGTTATGACATACATTTCATGTATGTTTGTGATGCGTGCGCAGCGGTTTTCCGATCAGGAAGGCACATGTCGGACAAACGCAATCCTGTGCTTCCCAGAAATGAGGTAGTGTATGTATGGGCCGTCAAAAATAAATGCATCTATGTGTGTGTATGTGTGTGTGTGTGTGTGTGTGTGAGTGATGATACGGATGTTCTCTACTGGCATCTAGAGGTACCAAAATACGGAGTATGTTAAATTGCACAGTCTACAGTTTGTGAAGGATGATTATATGCGGTAAAGAGCGTTTGTCTTTCATCTTCTCTGGTAATGACAGGCCATCATCTCATCATCCGTATGGGCTGGACTCTCATGAGATGGGCATTTCGCCCCTGGTGGCGGGAGTCTTTAACAGCATGTGTTGGGTTATCAGAGGGAAGGTGGTGTTGGGTTTCTAAATAAAGCATGAACCGAGTCTCAACAGCAGCGCATGCGCGGCGGAGACAGCTCTGGTGGGATTTCGGGTTCGGGCTGAAGGGACAGGACGCTGTTGGACAGCTCCTTACAGGGGACTTCAAGAGGCATCTGTGGAAGGACAACATTTAGTCAGTTTGTAAGATGTTAGAGACTCTTCAATGACTGTCTGATGTGCATTGCACACTAAAATGGTAAGATCTTGCTCAAAAGAGATGGGAATCAGGGCTGCACGATTAATCAAAATAAAACCGAAATGCGTGTGTTTGAGTTTGGGTTGCATTCGAGAATGCAACATGCGCCAAACATCTTCCCAAACTTGTAATGATAAAGTGCTTATAAACCATCTGTTACAAGCAAAAGAGGCATTTTTCCATCAAAATAAAAGCTCAACATTTGAAACTGAAGAAATTAAGATTGCAATTTTACAGTTGTACTGGTTCAAGGTTCTTTATTTGTCACGTACAGAATTACATACATGTGATGTAGTGATTTTTCTTAAATACTTGACTTAATTTTACAGTAAAATATTATTATTATTATTACTATTATTATTAGTATTCACAGTCATATTGTTATATAATCACAAAATTCACTTAAAAAAAAAAATCACATTTTAAAATTGCAATTTTATCAGAATGTTAGCATTTATCATGCAGCCCTAATGGGAATTGTAATAAAATAAAAAAAAGGAAGAAATAATAAATAATTACTGCATTTGCCAACATTTATGGCATCAAATCTTATTGTCTAATAAACTTATGTAAATCTAATCTCACCTGCTTTGGTCTCCTAAATGTCATGTACAAAACAAACTGTAGTTGGTCACTTTACATGTTGGTTGGACGCTTCCTTCCTGTCAAAGTGGCCAATTACTGGCCATTATTCACTGCAATTGGGTCAGATTTTTTGCCGATAGTCAAATTCTATCTCTGCGTGTCTACTGAAATCCTGAAAACTCCTTTTATCTCATGATGATATGATTTGAGCCAGAAACACTCTTGATTCACTCGTGATTCGTCACGCACTGAGAAACTCACTATTTTTAATCAAATGTTTCAGAATTAACATTTTGATGAGCAAAGAATTTGTCAAAACAGCTCCACTTACCTTACTCAAAATGTCATCAACTAGTTTAAGGAATATCTCATCCACATTAAAGTTGTCCTTGGCACTGGCCTCACAGAAACGCATCCCTGATATCCGTGAAGCAAACTGCCAGAAATAAAGAAATTTATTTCAGTGTGATGGTGGTTCTGAATGGGTTAAATATTCAAATAATTAAATATTTGATACTTTTCTAATGCAATCAGCTGACTGAGGCTCTTTCTTTTCCATAATGGTAACACATCAAACTATTGTATGGCTTCAGAAGATGTATGGACTGCTTTTATCGAGTAAATACCAATGTTTGGGTGAACTATTCCTGTGTAAAGTGTGCTTTCACACACTGGTACTGTTAGCTTTAGTCCCAGTGGGTTTGGGAAGGTTGGAGGAGGCATTATTCAGAGCATTCAAGGAATCTCTTTGTGGAGGTCCAGAATAATGTCCCTGTGTCCAGGGCTTTGGATGCACTGAAAGACTCGTAATGCAGCAACGCCCTCCACTGAACTAAATGTCAAGGTAAACCTGAGACAGCTTTATACAGCTGAATTTGAAGTAAATTCAGGCGATAATAATGTTCTAATAGCAAATAATAAAAAGGTATAAAAACATCACTCATATTTGCATCATATTTGCTGAATGAAACCAATGCTTGTTTCTTACTAATTCTGAGGTGCTGAATCCAAAAGTATTGCCTGTTTTGCCTGTAAAATTATATTGAATGTTTTTGAACATATTTTTCCACTCCTTTGCAAATTGTAAGTTAAATAATACATTTTGAATACCTCTTTTTGTCATTAAAACCATTAAAATAAAAACTTCTGACATTTGCCTGCTTTAGTTATTTTGATAAGTGCATTATATACTTATAATCAGAAAATATTAGAAATGTTGCCTTAGCAATTAACTGAAATAAATTAGTACTAATGACTAAACCTAAAACTGAAATAAAAATAAATTAAAGCTAAATAGAAAGATTTAAAATGATAATAATAATCAAAATGACAAAAGCACATAACAAAATTACTAAAATTTAAATAAATAAAAAAAACTAAAATTAAAATAAAAACTGAAATAATAATTCAACATATTAATAAATACTATTGAAATAATACTAAAATAACACTGGTCTCACCCTCCCAGCTTGTTGTCGTGAAATAAATGTACATGATAAAAAGTTTTTATTATTTTTTTAACTCAGCATCTTCAAATGAAGTTATATTAGAAATATATATAAAAAAGGAAGAGCCCTTAGTTACTTATAGAAAACAGTCATTAGCTAGCAACATTGTTATTGTTAACTACAACTAAATCTATTAAAAGTTATTTTCAGTAGTCGAAATAAAGTGCTAAAAATAAAAAAATAACGTTAAACTGAAATAAAAATATATATACAAATGGCAAAATTACTAAAACTAAAATTAAAACGAAAACATTTTAAAAACTAATTTTATATATTTATTTGTATTTATTATTTATTAATATGGTATATAAACAGTACTAAAATAACACTGCTCTCACCCTCTCTGCTTGTTGTCGTGAGATGGAACGATCAGACTCACAGTCCAGTTTGTTCCCAACCAATAGGAGCTCAGCATCCTCTGATGCGTACTACACAGAAGCAAAACAACACTTTAGTAAAAAATTTCAAAATCCCTGGTAGCCCTTTGGGCAGGCATTCTACGGCATTCGTGGTAGCGCAAAATGAATTTAACTAGCCCGAATAAAAAGGACATCGGCTGACAAATCAGCATGATCAAAAACTTTAGTGATTGTATTTTTTCTTCAAATAACAAGTAGGGGTGCAACGGATCACAAAACTCACGGCTCGGATCATATTACAGATTTTGAGTCACAGATCGGATCATTTTCGGATGAGCAAAAAAATGGTTCTTTATTATTTAAAGAACACTTTACTTCCTTTATACCACAGCAAAAACTAGTAGCATATAGGAATGTAACGATTCACTCAACTCACGATGCGATACACGTTACTGAATTCACAATAAGATTTTCGCGATTCATTTAACATCTCAACCGACTTGAATCGTCACATATTTTTATTGATTTTCAACTGGCTAGCATGCATCGATACACCCCTAGTAGCATAACTAATAAAGGTCAAACATTTTTAAAGACAAGTGAGCCGTCAGTAATAAAATAAGAACAAATGAACAAATTACCAGTATAGATAAATAAAATAGAACAAAGTTACAAATAAAATAAGGTCTAACATTAGTTTTCAGGTACAGAAATGTTATAATTAAGTGTAAAATAACACTGCATAGTGTTCACTGTATAAATTACATATAGATCTTTGTTAAAGCTGACAGATAGCAGCAGGTGTTTACAGGCTGCTGCCCCTTTAAGACAGAATGCACGGAATATGATGCACAGTGTGTTTGAGTGTGTGCAATTGAGTTCTCTTTTGCCTCTTCTTGTGCTTGAATGGTTCAGTGTTTTAGATGTTTGAGTACCTTGTCTATCATCTTCATCCATTTTGGCAGGTCGTCAAAGGTTTCCTGCTTGGTGATGTCGTAGACCAGTACGATGCCTTTCGCGCCACGGTAATACGCTGAAGTGATGCTGTTAAACCTCTCCTGACCTGCTGTGTCCCTGCAATCAGTCAACATTATTAGACTTGCATGACATCCAGAGTGAGGAATAAATCATATGTTTGACTATTAAGAGAAATCGTGTCTCTACAATCACAGACAGCTGGAAGGGAGGGATGGAAAAAGTAAGAGGGGTTTGTGACATCAGCTGAAAAAGAAAAAGTCAATTTATTTTCAATTTAATAAAAGATTACAAAGACAAGCATAACATGCACCAATGAATCATTCACAATAAGAACAGGAAGGTGCATTATCGACTTGCTCAGATCATTTGCTTTGCCAGTAATTTCATAAAACATTCATGTATTTCAGCACTTTCATGAACAAATTTTTCACATCTTGATTCGAAGGAAAAAGAAAATTCAGATTAATTTTGAACATTATGGCACATGACAGATGTCCATTTCCTTGTTTTTACTGTACCTTATTCACCCTAGTCTGGCTGCATGTTTCCAAAACAGGATATGATGTCACAAAGAGGACCGGTGAGGCGTCACATGTCAATGAGCGGTTAAGACGGACAGTGAAGGACAGCCATGGATGCTGGGTAGCTGGATGTGAGTGGACATGTGTTACAGACAGGACGTTCAAAAGCAGACATCTGCAGAAGTGTGGTGTGAGAGAAGCCGGCGAGTTTTAGGGTCAAAAGAAATAAAAATGATGATAAAGTGGGTGGGGAGGAGATGGGAGGTTAGTATTAGTTAGGATTGGTTACTAAATGACTGAACCAGATTCCACTGGAACAATAAAGGTATGCAATAACAAAAAGACTAGTTTACAGACTGCACCAAACTAAATAGAAAAGAACTAGAGTTGTTCATGATTAGGTTAATAATTTAATAGACTATTCTAATCAATTGTTTATTAAACAATTTTGTGATTTGGCTTGTCTGTAAAAATGAAGAGGACATAATCACAATGAGAAAGAGCAGCATCTGTATTTTCTATAGGCCCCAAATTATTAGTGAATGGTATGAATGGTAAATTAAACAAATTAAACTTATACTAAACAGCCTAACTGATGAAGTAAAATTTAGATAGATTTCTTACATTTATGTTTTTAAATTATTAAGAGTCTTCCACATGACATTTGCTGTATTAATTTTAAATCACAATCAAAAATTCCTGAAAATTGACATCCCAACATAGAAAACAATAAATGAAACTCTGAATCTGAATAGTACTCCATAGAATAGAACCAAACAGAATAGAATTCAACAGACCCAAATTAAATAAAGCAAAACAGAAACGAGTAGAATATAATAGAATATAACAAGAATAGAAAAAGAAACAAAGGAAGCTTGTTTCCACCACAGGATATAAAAAATCAAAAAGGTAATTGTGACTTTTTTTCTTGCAAATCTGAGGGAAAAAGAAAAAATAATTTGAGATTTCTGAGAAGAAAAGTCTGAATTGTGGGATAAAATGTCAATACCTTTTTTTAAAAATTATTATTATTTTATTTCATGGCGGAAAAAGACAAAAACAGAATTGCGAGATGCAAACTCAAAATTCAGAAGAAAAAAAGTCAGAATCGCGAGTTTATATCTATAAA